TGTATTGTTTGTTCTTGGTTATATGTGGGTTCAACGAACTGCTCCTCTTCCTCATTTGGAATAGTCCAAGACAAGTAACAGCTATCACCATTGTCTTCATAATTGCTCTCATATTTAGAAAAGGAAAGAGCGTTATAATCGTGATCATCGTCACTTTCGAAATTAAACATCAGTGGGGACATTGATGTCAATCATTGACTCGAATGATTGGTCATACCTCGCACTTCCTAATTGGTCAAATTAGTCCCTATAAATGTGTACAATGAATTTGCTAGAGTCTAACCAGTTATGAGGACAGGTATATATAACAACTTATAATGCAAATCATATTTACCATAATATAGTACTACGTATAATTTAATATATTATATATGGGAAGTTTACCAAGCACCATAGGGCAAATCGTATATTCTATCCAGTGGAAGAACCCCTTGGGGTCGAACAACCCACAACCTCTCCCATGCACAGAGTTCTAGAAGTATTAAAAAATCCTCCCACCGAAGAAGCTTTTCCCGCCTTCGCTCCTTAACACAATTTGTGATACAAAAATGCCAATACAGCCGATCCCCAACTCCACATAGTCATATTCTGTATGTTGTTCTGCAACAACTCAAGAAAGTAGAACGTCAGTCTACTGCTAGTGCTAGGGAACAACAAGTCACCAAACAATTACCAAATCAGTGCTTTCGTATGTCGAATAATGTCAATATCTTTGCTCCATGGTGATAATGGGGCGCAGTGAATGGGTAGCACTCTGATGATGGATGATTTGATATCATCATCAAGTGATCAGAATCCAACATAATCCTCACACATCTCCATCTATTTAGCCTTACTATGTGTCGTCGGATCAGTAAGTGAGAGACCGTCAATGGGTAACCCGATCAGCACTTGTACATATTGCAAGATAATGCCTACCTCGCCAAAGGGTAAATGGAAATCATGTGTTTCTGGTCTCCATCTATCAACCAATGTGGTGATAAGACCCCAGTCAATATTGTTTTTTCCTAATCGCTCAGCTCCGTGAAAGCCTGATGCCCTCAACAGTTGTACGGTGACTCTAGGGTGACACTCGCCTTCGTCACTGGACGCTGAGGGGAAAGTAAGGTACTTCAATTTGGCGTGTTTCAACGTTTTGTTTTTTCACACTTCATCAGCACGATGTTCTCCAGGTCTCATCATCAATACATAACGATATAAGGGGTCGGGGTGTTCTCTTTGTGTAGCCATGAAAGCCTAATAATATATTAAAGTAATTTCTAATCAACACTCATATGTGTAATACAAATTCTAAATACAATTAAACAACACTATTTATAATACAATTTCTAACACCTAATTACACAACACTACTATTTCAAAATTAACATTCTCCAACTACAATTATTGATCCACAATAATTAATAAATAATAATTGGGTATAACATATACAATTTATTGTATTTCCATCTCATATCACATTCAATATCTAAATATCACTAAATTATGCTCCATCCATTCCCAAATTAACTTCTCATTCACTATTCACATGATCAATTTAAATCATTCTTAATCTTTTTTGCTTTATATATCAAATTTTTATCAAGTTTATATTTTTTTTTATCAGACTTTGTAGAGGTTTTAATATAGTTTCTGAATATGTAAATTTTATTTAGTAGAAATAATCTGAGTGTGAATAGAGATCAAGTTATTTTATTGTCAATCAAGCATCGTAATTCGAAAAGAGAAGTTGTTTCAAATACGGAGATAGTACATGTTTATAATACAATTTTTAACACTAATTAAATTTTTTTATTTTACAATTAAAAATTAACACTAATGATAGACTAATATTTGATAAATTAACACTAATTGTTGACTAATTTCTACACTGAAATTGGAAAGATTTCTATATACGAGTGATGAAAATATCATTAAGAAGCAAAGTTAACATGCACATTAGTATTTTTTTTTAGTAAATTTATACATATACGTATTTGGTAAACTTACAATAATCTATCCTATTTGGTAAGTAGAAAAATATTTGGTATGTTTCATATTTTACATTTTTCTATAGGTTCCTATTTAACAATTAAAAATTTACACTAATTATAGACTAATTTCATTTCGAAATAACATTAATTAAATTATTTACTAAATTCAACTAAGATAATTAAAGAAAAATTTACTTGATCTAAGATGAAGAAGATGGCCAAAATATAGAGAAAATAAGAAATTGGAGCAATTTGTGAGGAATGAAGTGTGAATTGTGGTGGATTTTATAGAGTAGATTTGTCAACTCAGACTGACCAATAGGAGCTTGGACAAATTTGTCAAACTATAATATTTATTTATTTTGATTTGCACCCTCAAAGTTCCAATCCTAGATGGTGACAATTATTGATCAATATATAGGAGTTTGGACATATTTGGCAAATATCTCAAACTATATATTTATTTATTCTTGACATATTTTCCAAATCCGCTCAATTGGATGCGATCTGCGTTCTTAAATTGGCGTTCCAAGATGGCGATTCAAGACCACAATTATTGATCAATAGGACAAACGGATTCCGCAAATCTGTTTTACCTTTTCAGCTAATAATCCAGACAAAATCACTCTCTGTAAACACCTGCACAAAAGGTGCTCTGTTCCATATGGATCACCTAGCAGGCTGGCCATGGATGAAGTTCTTACGCCAATTGTATTCCCACGATATTATGTCAATCTCGAATACTCATGAGTGGCCACTATTATGCCCTTCTGGGGTAGTAGTACGGGATAGTAGTCTATCTGTCTAACTGTTCAGGAGTTAGAATGTCTTTCCGCGATGAAAAAATGAATGACGGCACGATCTAATTGAGGTGTCGGGTCGTGAGGAGGGGAGTTGTTGTCCCACACCGGATATCTATTAGAATGGAACCCAAGGTCTTAACAATATATATTATCATAATGGTGCATGTTAAGACATTCTTTTATCGTATAAATTAACCCTAGTTATTAGGGAAAAATTATTGTTATATAATCACAATTAGTATTACAATTTAACGTTGGGTTTTTAGTAATTTCTAGTTGTGTCATGTGTGAGTTTTAATCTAGATGGATCTACTCGACCCGTTTTCGATACTCATCAAGTCCGAATCTTCAAAATTTATTTTATATCATTGTGATATTGCTCAAGAGTGTGGAACATACGGAGTACAATGTAACTAACCTTTCTGGATTCGGATCGGAATATGTTTCATGTTTCGACTCATGAATGTAGCAAAACATAGAAATACTATTGCACTGAGCTACATAGTTTGAGGTTTTAGAACTAATTTCAAACTTTAAATGATGTCAAAAATGCTAAATATAAATTTTCATTTGACTCCATGTATAGGTAGGTACATTGGGAGGAATAAATGGGGTAGTGTTATGATTAGGCAAAGATAAACGATAAATTAAGAGCAAGAACACAAGAATTAACGTGGTTCACACAATCGGGTTGATTGTGCTAGTCCACGGCGAACGAGAGAGAGGATGTATTATTATCAGCGTCCCAAGAGGTTTACAAGTACATAAGAGTCGTTTAAATATGTTTAAGAAAACCTAAACAGAGATTAGAGCCGCAGGCCCTAATTAAAATCAAGCCCGTAATTAAATTTCCCGTAGACCCGGTCGGGTGCCCCCTTGACCCGGTCGGGTCTCTTCACAAATTTCACACCCGGGTCGATACCAGGGCGGGTATCCAAAACAGAAGGTGAAACCTTCTCTGACCCGGTCGGGTCCGTCTCCTGACCCGGTCGGGTCTCACATTCCAGTGAGTTCCCAGTTCTCTGGTTCATCGTACCCGGTCGGGTGACTTAATATACCCGGTCGGGTAACTGTATTAAAAAATCAGAACAAGACTCCATCTTCAACAGGTAGGAAAGTGAAAAAGTGGGAGGGGTGTAAACCGACTGTCATCTTCTCCCTCTGGAAATCATATGGCCCAAGAGCAAAAAAGGCTAGACGGTTGGGAAAAGGGCGGGGAGCATGATTCAAATAGTATCTGGCAGAACTCCATCTTAAATTAGAGATTATTGATGTTAATTATGTCAAAATGTGTAAAAATATGTATAACAAATGCAACTGCTGAGATGGTTTTGGTTTTGTTAGAACGGGAAAAGTGCTCCAATGACCCAAACTGAAAGCCGGCAGTTAAAACATTGAGCAATCCAATGTTTGAAATTAAAAATATATGCTTTTTTCAATGAAATATAAGGGTTTTTCATAGATGGATAGATTGGATACAATAACAACATCCAAACCTTAAAACAAACTTGAAAAGAAGTTATTACACAAATGTAATAAATAAATAATGATTATTGACCCGAGATATGTAAAAACAATATCAATAGTGATAATATTAACTTCCTTGGATTGCATTAAAAAGTTGTATTGACAGACTGAATACATCAATATTTGTATAAATATGAAAATAATTTATTGAGTGTAGGTCACACAATATATGCTGGTTTATCTTGAAATCTCATCCTTGATTAAATAATTAATACAAGTGATAGAAATTTAGATCACAAGTTCAGTCAAGGCCCGTGCTAATATCTAACACTCCCTCCATCCCACAAAGAACTTTCAGTTGTGATTTACGATATTTGATCGACGATAAAGTTAATTGATTCATGTCAATATTCAAATGTTTTTTTGTAAATAAAATATGTATATTCAGAAACTATATTAGAAATTTTACAAAATTGAAAAAATTAGTTAAAATTTAATAAAAGTTTGATATACAAAATAAAAATGAAAAATATAGTTTTTTTAAAATAAATAAATGTCATTGTAGGTGACAAAGGATGGTTTTCCAGTAATTTTCCATGATGTCTTCCTCTTTACCGAAGAAAAGGTCAGTGTGCTGCCAGTTCTACTGTTTTAGTGCTCATCTCATCCATCTATAATTATCACCCTATTCATCTTAATCATATATATGCATTATTATACTTACATATAATCTCGACATCTCTTGTTTAATTTTCAGGGCTTAATCATTGAGAAGAGAGTTACAGATCTCACTTTGGATGAGTTTCTTTCCTATGGGCCCCAAAGGAGTGCAGAAAATGTTCGTAATGATTACTACCTCCCTCACGCAATTAAGATCTTAGTTCCTGTCCCAAAATTAAGTTTCAACTTCTCGGTAATATTTGATTGGTAATATACCATAAGTCCATAAATTATTGATTTTCTCCGGAGAAAGAACAAATATGCTCTTGAACCTTAGATATGAGAGCAAATATATCATTCAACCTCATTTTGGAACAACTAAACACAAATTGTTTAGTTCAGAGACCGAACATTTATCAAACCAGACCAGTTCAGACCAGATCAGACCAGACTAGACCAGCAAATTTCAGTCCAAAAGAAAACATCCTTACCCATGAATTATATATGAGAGAACATGTATACCACTTAACATGTATACCCTTAACCAAATGGACGTAGGGGTGTATTTGTTCAACCCTTACCACTTTTATTTAATTGTTCCAAATAAAAGTTCAACATTCTCTAATATATAGTTCAAGAGTAATAGAGTATGTATATATATGTGTCCCTTAAAAAGTCAATAAACATTATGTATCTAAAATCCTTTGAATTCAAGTTTTAATCTTAATTACGGGACGAATAAGGGTATGATTGCAAGTAATCCCAAGTATGATTATAAGAATGCAATTTCTCTGAAAAGTTTTTTTAATAACTATTTTTTTCAAACAGGTTGGAAAGCCGATATACCGAAAAACGAAAGGAGGGACAATTTTTGAATGGGCTGTTGAAGATGATGATCATCTATGCATATTGAAAGATGTATTTCAGAGCGTTAATGACTCATTAGGCTTTAACATTGAATTGAAGTTCGACAACAACAGAGTTTACACAGAAGCAGAGCTTGTAAGAGTTATTCAAGTGATCATGAAGGTATGAATCGGTTTTTAATCTTAACTAAGTAGAAAATATGATGTTTAGTTTATATTTATGAATCTTATATGTCAATTTTTTTTTTACCAAAAACTTGATTCATGACTTCATTGATTAATACTACCAAAAACATGGAGTATAACTCCATTTTGGCCGAGATTATTGATTTTAAATTAAGAACGACGTCACTTTCATCAATGTTTCTTGACTAAATACGTAGTATCATAATTCTGGGCCAAGGGGAAATGTATCCTACAACTATCCTTATCTGTTTATTGTACAAAAAGCTTACGAAATTAGTACTTGGGTATTAATAGTATATTAGTATGTTAATTATGTTGAGTCAAACATCTTTTTCATTCTTTCTTTGAATGAGTTTGTCAAATTTGATGAGTACCGTTTTTGTCTTTGGAATTGCAAAATTCATGTCAGATTCAACAACGGGTATTCTTTAGATACAGGTAGTTTTGATAGACTTTTGGAGTCAACAATATAGATGGAGTACTTGTGGAGTATTTGTGTTCTCTCAAATTTAGCTCTCTTTGGAAAAAAATTAAGGAGACTTATATGATCGACTCCCGAGGGTATTGTGGCACTATTATCATCACTCATTTTTAGTGAGGTTTCCACAAAAAAATGGATGGTGATGATGGCGCCACAACATCTTGTATGACTTTATAAGGGAATCATATGAATCTCCATAAATCTAAATCCTCTATTTGATGAATAGTTAAAACGACGCAAATAGGACTAATTAAAGTGAAATTGTTGAACACAAAGTATTTGGAGATTTATTTAGGAGAAATGCTTAATTAAAAATGTTATTACCTAAATAGATATGGTGTATATGTTATAACAGGAAAATACAAAAACAAAGGCAAAACTCTCATTTTCTTACAAAAATCATAAAATAAGTCGAGTTTGAGGTGATTTTTTATGCTTATCCATCCTATCATCCAAGAGTTTTGGTTCGTGTAATTGTTTGTCTACACACAATTACGTTTGGGTTTAGTAAAAAGTAGTGTTTGTGATCTCGAATTGTTTGTGCATAGACAATTCATTTATTTGGAGTTACAAATACTTCTCTAGTAAAACACTTACTAAAATTCAAATGTAATTATTTGTGCACACATTTACACTTGGATATGTACCGTGTGTAATTTGATATGTACACGAAGCAAAACTCATCAGCCAAATGTTGTAATGGTGTTGCTTTTTTAAATCTTTCAATAAAGCCTCATTAGCCAATTCGATATATACCAAACGACCTCCTACTTGGAAGATATATTTGTGTTTGAACCAACTATACTACTGATTTTTGATATGTTATGTAGCAAATGAAATTATCAATCGTGTTTACTCATTATTTTAACAAATTCAATTATTATAACCAATTTTTAACGTTTCCAAACGTGTCGTAGACTTATAGCCGTCCATACTGAATTACTGAGACATGATTAGACACGATTCTTGCTGTTGTAGTACAGGTCCGGTCTTAGATTTAATTCAGCAAGACTAAAATGCACTAAATGGTTAAAATTGGCTTCTTTTAAAAATGCATTTTACATTAGCAAAATCATATTGAAAAAACCAAAATTGGCTTCTTCAGTTAATTCATTTAAATGTATCGTAACCCATATACGTAGTATTTTTTATAATTAGTCAATTTAGTTCATATATTAAAAAAACGTGCTTACTAAATATCTAATTGATAAAACCCATAGACTTCAAAACAGACCTGCTACCAAAGTGCACATAACGAATTTGCTATTGAGAACAAGTTAATATGAAACAGGTGGTATTGGATGATGCTAAGGAGAGAGTGATAATGTTTTCAACTTTTCATCCAGATGCAGCCCTATTAATCCGCAAACTGCAAAATCTCTACCCTGTAAGTATTTTAACCTTGACCCTCCAATGGTTCTTAAAATAGTGTTTGTGATACCGGGGAGTAGGAACTAGGAAGAGGGTGTCACAAGATAGAGGTTTCAGGTTCAACTTCAAATAATGATTTGAGATGGAACCCTACTTTCTTTCTATCAGTGTGATCAAAGCTCAAATTGCATCTGTCAAGTCGGTTGTGGTGACCCTCAAGGATGAGGTGATAATCTTTTTTTAAATAGTGGTTGTGATAAGAGGCGTAGTACTGTATTTAAGGAGAAAATATATTGAGCACGACAACGTGCTCTGTAGTGAGCACATAGGCGTGAATAGTGGTAAGGATTCATTCATATTAAGTTTTCAGAGAATTTTGACCATTTTTCATGTCAACGTGCTCCGTAGTGAGCACGTTGACGTGCTGCATACATTTTCTATAGTAAACGGGGTTATGATAGGCTCCGATTCACCCCATTTTTATCGGATGTCCTTGAAGGGACAAACTCTGATTCACCCCAAAATTGATAGGAACGTTGATTTCACCTTGAAAGAATTTAGTGTAAAATGTCATCCCAAAACACCTTTATTCTGATTTCAATTAATAAACGCTTTCGAGTCATTTCGCACCAGGTTTTCTTCCTAAGCAATGGAGGAAATGAAATACATTCAGACACCAGAAGAAACTCATTAGAAGAGGCGGTAAAGCTGTGTTTGGCAGGGGGGCTCCAAGGAATTGTTTCTGAGGTGAAAGCAATACTGAGAAATCCTAGTGCAATTAACAAAATCAAAGACTCCCATCTTTCCCTCATAACATATGGTCAGCTCAAGTAAGTCTTCTCATATTTTATTATAAAATTAATCATGAAAATTTTTGTTTGATCATAAGAAGTGGTGTCATGTCTCATAGGCATGACAAAAACTGCAAGTTTTCCATAAGGCTCATCCCAATGGATATAGATTGGGTTGGTAACATGACTAGTCAGGGCTAGTCATATGATGGTATATCAAATATGAAGAGTATATGCTTTTCCTATTTGACAATGTTTTATGTTATTGTTTTATTATACTAATCATTAACTTTGTTTGTTACTAAAAAGCACATTATTCATAATATATATCATACCCAGTACTCTATTATACGATCGTAGATTAATTATATTTTTACAGATGCATTACATCAAAGAAAAGTTAAAAGGTACGAGTGTTACATTAGTGAATTAAGGGAAAACTTTGAAGGTACTTACATTGAAGAAAAGCTAGAAGGTATTGTATTAGTGAATTAAGAGGAAAAGGTCAAATAGGCATTTCCAATATTCCAAATAAATTACTTCAGACCTTATATTAGATGCATAAATAAAACTAATTCCAAAGACTAAAAGTCCTATTTGTTCATTTTCTGTGAATTCATAAATAAGGTTTTCTTTTCTGTAATGCATTTGAAAATATTGCAAAATTCTATCCTTATGTCTATAATTAAATCAAAATTAGAAATTCAGAATCAAGATTTGAATGAATAGGAAAAGGTAAACTGACTTGAATCACATTTTCTTACAAAAAAGACAGGAAACATTTATTTTGGATAACCCAAAAGATAAATAAGAAATTCATTTTGAGACGTATGGATAATTATATAGACTTCCCAACAATTAGGATGTTTTTAGTTGGATTTATTTCAGATCAGAACAAACCAGATGAAATCTAAACAGACCTGATCAAACCAAATCAGAATTGATCAGAAAGACTTAAACAAATCATAACAGACCAAAAAAGATTTTGATGGTTGTAAAACACGCATAGACCAAAATCTACCAACCAGATCATATCAGACAATCAGCCCAAAAAATCTCAATCCTATTAAAAACATCCATCAACCCAAAGCATTGTTTATTAAATCTTTCCTTTTTTACATAACAACGGACCGCCAGAGAGACATAAATATTTCGAAAGTAAGACAGTACGACGTAAGTCAGTACAATGTACTACTTGTATAATTTTATTATTTAAGTTGGGATATGCCAAAATAGTTTATCACTAAGAGATCTAATACCACTACACAACTTGCACCTGAATAGTTCCGAATCTTATTTGTTAGTATCTGATTTCTAATGTTTTCTTTTGGATTGAGTCCCGGACGTACGTGACTAGACCATCTAATGATCAGACCGGACTAGATTTCCATAGTTATAGAACACAAAGATACCAGACATTTATTAGACCAGACCAGCAAATTTCAGTCCAAAAGAAAGCATCCCAAGTCTTCTGGAGTTAATAACAGTCAATTCTTTAACCTTCCTTATGGAATTTTAATTAAAATCTGAGCTGCTGGATGGCTGGGAATTGAATTGAACATCACCTTATGAATGCATTTATGTAGTAATGTGGGTGAGGTTGTGTACATGCAACGCAATATGGGCGTAGAGGGCGTCATCGTTGACGTTGTTGAAGAGATTATGGAAACGGTGTCGGAACTCAACGACACCGAGAGCGGTGAAAGGGGTCAAGCTTTGTGTATAGATGAGAAGACGGTGCTAACGGAGAAAATGGATCGTCATTGCTCTAAGGAAGAAATCTTGTGTTTATTCAGCCTTCTCCCCCTACTGCTGCATCGGTAGTGTTGAAGGAGTATATCTTGTGTTTATATAGATACTCGTATTTATTTTCTTAAAAAGTTTCATACGACTTAGTATATATATCATGTGTTCGGATTTTGTTGTTGGAGAAAATTGCATATTTTTTCTCGTAATAAATGGAGGTACATGTTTATTTGTAACTAGTTTTGTAATTTTACTCACTTGTAGTCATTACAAAAAAAACACAGGCATTTGTGACAGGGGTTTCCCAAAATTGACAGAGATATGTCAAATCCCCGTCAAAAACAGTTTGGCATGAGCTAGTCTGCACAAAATATTCTCAAACTAAAAAATGGAGAAGAACCTTTATAAGAAGTACGTAGTAGTATACTATTTCGATCTATAAGCAATAAAGCAAATGAATAACTAGTATCCATTGTAGCATGCCTTATTTTACTCGTACATCGTTTAGTAAGTAGTTTAGGATAGATAAATATGCAGTAATAAGAATTTTTAATTTAGTGGACGAAATTACGAAAACAGTATTTCTAACACCTAGTACACTTGACGAATTCCTCCATATAATTTGAAAGTATCAAGGAAGTTCACTTTAAATATGAAGACGAGATAATCCAGGAGTAGCAAATGCCGTTGAGACATTTTTAGGAATAAATTATGCACATTAAGTTACTCCAAAAGTGAGTATTCCGCATACAAGTTCTTTTAAGCTATATTTCAAAGAGATAATTATCCCAGACATGACTAAAACTCAATGAGTTTCTCAATCTATGACCTAACTAGTTTTTTTCTCAAAATAATATTAATATTTATAATATTTAATTAAAATTCGGAATTAATAAATAATAAATATTTTTTATGGACAAATATACCCTTTAATTTATACCTATAAAACTCTAACCCTAGCCACAGCCTCCCACCGTCCACCCACGCAGCAGCCCCACCGTCTAGCATCGCCCATCGTCCAGCGCCACCTCCTTCCAAGTACTCTGGCCTGGGAGCACAGTCGGCGATCCAGAACCCCGGACTGGGGCAAGTGCCCGCCCGACCAGAGTGCCAAGGCGTCGTTCAAAGTCGATCCGCTGCTCGCCGTCCAACCATCGCTCGCCATACAACCTCCGTCCAGACATCCGGTCCGGGGGAGCAAAGCCGCCGTCCTCATCCCCTTTCCACTTGAGAGCGCAAGATTTATCGGTCTTCAATTTAGGGAAAAAAAGAAGAAGCTAAAGCTTATTTAGCTCCTTCCCTTTCACTGGCCGCGCTAGGAGTAGCAGGTACTAGGAGGCTAGGAGCGGGCTTTTCGTTATAGGGTGTAATAGGGTTAGAATTTAGAAATGCTATTTTTTGCATAATTGTACTCCGTATCATATACTCCATATTACAAAATTGGATCAATCACTTTTTTTTTGTTTTCAAGTTGATTCAATAACTCATGTTTTGACTGACTTAGTTTCAAAAAGATGTTTGAAGAAAGTTTGTTACATTTAGAGTTTGTAAGCATTAAGTATGGGCATTGAATATTAACAGTGAGCATAATAATAAGTGTTGAGTAATATATATATGGCAATGAATCAATGCATTAATGGAATTTGTTATACAATCATTATGATCAATAGTGCAATAATACATAGCACTAATTAGAAATAAAATAATAAAATTATTAAATCTAAAAAATAAATAATAAAAACTATGAACAAATTTCTAAAATGAATGAGAAGAGAATTAAATTTGGAAGAAGTGCAGCGATTATTATCGCATGTGCAGTAATGTTGCGCAGTAATATCGTGCAGTAATCTTGTGCAGTAATGACAATGTAAAATGCTGTAATTTTAATTGAGCGAAATTAGTGCGAAATACACATATTTTAAATAAGGGTATTTTAGTCATTCAACATTTAAATATAAACGAATTTTCTATTTATTTTTGGATTTTTGGTCATACAAAGGTATAAAAACTAGTTAGGTCATAGATTGAGAAACTCATTAAGTTTTAGTCATATCCCGGTAAATTTCCCATATTTCAAATTTGAAGCAATTACACAATTACACAAACTCAAGGTGAAATTGTGAAAAGGTACAAAAATCAAACTCTAGGTAGAAAAAAACTATGGCTATGGAGACTGAACGAGAGTACTGCATATAACAAAACTGTGTACTTCAATAACAGCTTTGTCTCAAAAGAACTCTTTTACCTAGATAGAGAGGGAAAGAAAAATAACAAAACAGTGTATCACTACAAAAAGTTAGTTTATGAAATCTGTTTATGTATCACTAATAATATCTGTTTGTTCATCAATCATCAGTGCATTAATATCAATGAGGTCATCTAATCTAATGTCAACCAAAACTTCCAAATTGTAAATCATTTCCTTATTCACTAAAACTGCAGCCACCAATTGTGGAATTTTTAGTAGGGCCTCTTTATTCTTATGTTAGGTGAATTTATTGAAATAAAAAATCATGGATCCTATCTCCAATTAACATTTTTATGTAAAGAATTAATTTCACTTATAATTACAATCGGATTAGTAAATTATGAAATTCGGTGCTTACGTTAGAACGTACTAAACATTTTCGTCAAGCGGTGCAGTTTAAAAAATTAAACTCTCCTTCAGGGACAGAGGTAGAGGGCCAACTGGGCTTGAGCCCGGGTCCACCTAAATTTGAAAATTATTTATGCTTTTAGTTAGGTTTTATGTGTAAAAATTTATCTGAAAAATCTATTTTTATATTGGCCCAGCCCAATTTTCACTCCTGGTTACATCTTTGCTCTTCTTATATAAACCAATTAAGGGGTATATGAAATAGATTCTATTTCTGCTTATTTTTTAAAGCTAGAAGCATATTAGAACGAGTTTTTCAGAAGTTGGTCTCTTTCATCTCCTAAAATACTGCATCTACAAGCAATTTGGAGTATCCAAAAATACTTTTATAATTTCACCCAAAACCGTAATTATCAGTATCTACTTGCTAAAGAGAAAAAACATATTCAAGAAGTAGATCCACAATTACTACTTTACTACGCACACCCGCCGTTTCACAATAAATGAAAGTCACAATTTCCTTTTTTGGATGTTTCAAAACAAATTCACATTTTCTTATTTGATAAACAAATCTATATCAATACAGTACAAAACTGTATCAAACAGTGTCAGACAATGTACTCTGCAGTACAATTTTCTCCCTCATTAAAACAAATTCCTTAATCTTTGTGAAATCAAAGTGCGGCTTTGATTTTGAAACGGAGGGAGTATATATATAGTTCAATGGAATAGACAATGTGAAATAAAAAATGTTGACTTGTCAAAAAAGTTCCACTAACCTGAAGGATCTAGTGAGTACATTAGCTGATGGTGTTTGACAGTTTGACCTCTATGCACCGCAATATTTTAGCACTCAATTTGCAATTTCGTTAGGTTAATACGTTTTCGATTAGCCTACTGCTGGAAACAAACTCAAGCTTAGATTCGATGTTGTATCTAAAACTTCCTAAATTGCTACTTAAACCAAATTTTAGAAGATTGAACGAATACAATTTAGCTAAATTATCTCTTTAATTAATAGTGAATAAACTAATAGTTGACATGACATTGATTTTAAACTATACCAAGCAGTCATTTTAGTTGTCTAACTTGGGTATCTTCTATTATATAAAACCAGGAGAAAAATTGTACAGTGTTCCCACCCAAACACTGTACAGTAACGGGTCGGGTCAGTTCAACATGGGTCCGGAAACGGGTCTGGTGCAGGCCCACTGCTGTTCTTTAATGCTGGACACTTACAGGTTTTGGTTGTGTGGCTCAAAACGTGTAAAGTATTATTCAGTACAGAGCATTAAATGTATTCCAGTTCGCAGAGTGGTTGCTTTTATTATTTAAAAATGCTAAATTGTACTTTTGAACCAAGAGATCACAAATAAAATCCTCATGTAGGCATTGAGCCACATAAAACATTAAATGATTTGTACTATGGCAAGGTGCTTTTCAAAAATGAGATATTGTGATGATTAAAAAAATGAAGTGAATTGTACTTCAAATCTTAGAGGCCACAAATGTAATCCCAAAGCAATTCTTGAGCCACACAAAAATTTAATGCATTGTACCATCTTTGCAAACTATATTAATTTTTGTATTACAAAATCCAAACGTAAAGATTGAGTAAGATTTTTAACCTTTGGTTAACCACGAATTGCCCTACGTTATACCCCCCCCCCCCCCCCCCCCCCCCCGCCATTATAAATACCCAAGCCAGGGATAGTCACTACACACCACAAACCAGAAATTCGGCATTCTAATTTAAAAATCAGAGCAATGACAGCGGGTTCATCATCATCAGGGGTGTGGTCTTTGATCAAGGATATCGATCACACTAAGTCCATCTGGGCACTCAAGGTTAGGATGGTAAGGGCCTATGAGGTTCCTCCTCACTCAAAGGGAGGGTAGACTCTTGAGATGATTTTGCATGATGCAGAGGTACGGTTTATAAGATTTAACTCATACTACGTACAATGTAAAATGCTTGATAGAAGTTTGTTTTTAACTATGGATGTGTTAATAGGGTGATCGGATTCACGCAATAATAAGGAGGCCGCAGATTGCAATGAACAGTCCTATGATAACGGAGCACAAAATTTATGCCATAAAGAAAGTTTTGGTGCTAGACAATTACCAAACGGTGATGACCTCAAATCATCCCTACCTAATTCAGTTCATCTCTAAAACCCAATTCAGGGAAGATGCGAAGACATAACTGCCTATGATGGTCTATGATTTCCAACCTTTTGACATGCTGCACGCCCAAAGGGTTATCAACGACAAAAGTCTCATTGGTGAGCTAAAATCAAATTATAGTCCTTTCTACATTACCTAGGTAAATGTACTTACTACAGTTTATCCCTTGCGATGGCAGATATCATTGGGAAGGTGCTCACCAAAAGCCTTATTCAGACCCATATCATAAACAGGAGGACTGAAAGGCTAATGGAGTTAACTGTGACCAACCCGGAGTTAGTTTTTTGTTCATTAAGAAGATTATGGTACGAGAAACAATCCTTATGCCTATTGACAGAAACTTCTTAAAACTATAGGGGTAACAGAACGGGCTGTGTATTATGGAACAAGTACATAAACCAGTACCTCGATTATGTTAATGCGAATGAAGGAGTGCCTGTTTTTGTGATATTTCAACTCTGTATACCCAAAAGATACCAAGGTTTTAGAAAATTTGAAACATTCATTTTAGCAAAGAACCAGTAGCAAGAGCTTGACCTAATGTTATTTTT